AAAACAAAAGCAGTCCTTCCCTTCCCATCTTCCTGACACCTTCCCTCTTGGCATGAAGAAACTGAGGAAGTGAGCGGTGGAGGTGCCAACAGAGGTGTCACTGCACCAGGTTAAGTGAGTGGGTGGTAGGGGTTGGAGGTGGAAAACCCAGACAGAATGGTTGGGAAATGGAGCAAATTAAGGACATTAAGGACAAAAGAAGACAGGTTTCTTGCTGCCTGAGAACAGATTAATAAACCTAGAAAGGGAAAGGATGGAAAGAACCCTGAGGTATTGGATTCGAAATGTACAAACACATGTATTTTTAATACAGACAGATACAGCAGTAATTTTATATGGACGTGTATGTGCACGTGTGGATGGGTGGGTGGGTGGATAAGTGGTTGGATAGATAGATAAATGAATGAGTGGTTGGGTGACTGGGTGGTTGGATGGATGGTTGGGTGATGGGGTGGACAGATGGACAGTTGGGTGACTGGGTGTATGGATAGGTGGTTGGGTGATTGGGTAGATGGACAGATGGACTAGACAGATGTGGATGGGTGGTTGGGTGACTGGGTGAACGGATGGGCAATTGAGTGATACGACAGATGCATGGATATGGGTAGATTGATGAATGTAGGTGGGTGGGTGGGTGGATGGATGGATGGATGGGTGGATGGGTGGTTGGGTGGTTGGATAGATGAATGGATGGGTAACTGGATGGATGGCTGGATGGATGGACGGATGGATGGATGGATGGATAGATGAATGGGTGGTTGGGTGATTAGGAGGATGGATGATGGATGGATGATGAACGGGTGGTTGGGTGGATGGTTAGGTGATTGGCCGGATGAATGCATGCACTAATGAATGAACGATTGGATAAATGGACAGATGAATGGGTGGTTGGGTGATTAGGAGGATGGATGATGGATGGATGATGAACGGGTGGTTGGGTGGATGGTTAGGTGATTGGCCGGATGAATGCATGCACTAATGAATGAACGATTGGATAAATGGACAGATGAATGGGTGGTTGGGTGATTAGGTGGATGGATGGATAAAGGGATGGGGGTTGGGAGGGTAGATGGATGGAGGGATGGATGGGTGGTTAGGTAATTGGTTGGATTGAAGAATGGATGGGTGATTGGATAAATGGAGGGATGGATGGTTGGATGGAAGAATGGATGGGTGAATGAATGGATGGATGGATGGACAGAAGAATGGGTGGCTGGGTGTGTGGATAGATGGATGGATGGAAGGATGGATATAGGTGGATGAATGGATCAGTAGCTGGGTGATTGGGTAGACGGATGGGTGGCTGGGTGGATGAACAATGGGTGGTTAGGTGGATAGATGGATGCATAGATAGATGGATGGATGGGTGAATGGATGGCATTCATATGTTTCCTAACTCTGTCTGCTAAGAGGGCCCAGAAGTAGTGACACCTCACAAACAAACAAAACTCTGAGAACCCAGGTCTTTAAAATTCTAAAGACCATACAATACTATAAGGAACCACCCCACTTAGTGAGACGAGTGATCCCAGGGTAGGCAGGGAAAGTACAAAATAGCCAGGAACAAGTGCTCAAAGGACAATAAGGATGATCAAAAAGACACAGAAAAAAGCTCCTGCTGGCCAAGTCTAAACAATTTAGGAATCAAAACAGAGTACCAAATTATAACCGACTGATATAGGAAGATTTCATAAATTCATACTGATAGAAACAAACAAGAGAGAAAGGAAATACAGCTCATTCTTATGGTAGAAAGCCACCTAATAAATACAGAAGGAATAATGGAAATAGGTGATCATCATCACAGTGGTAGCTGCTATGGGCAGAAATCCTCAGTGGAAACTATGGCTATGAGAAGTCTGATGAGGAACAGAGACTGGTATTCTATTAGAGGAGCTGTCCACAAAATGTGCAGCAAAGACTAATTTTTTAAATGGTGACTGTGCATTGGAGAAACCCTGCAGACACCAATCTGACCAAGTGGCCAAGATGAACACTACTCATAGCTGGAGAGGTCAGTATCCCGTGTCCACTGCGATGACACCCAGAGAAGGACATGCACTGCCAAAAAGGCACAGCCTGAGTCAGCCCACGAGAACTGGGGGCAACCAGAAATAGAGGGCCATCTAAAGAATGAAAGGCCTGTACTCTTTAAGTATGTCAAAGACATAAAGGCACAGAAGGACTAAAGAATGTTCCGTTTTAAAGGAGACGGATTGGTAAGACATGGTGATTAAATGTAGCGCACATTGCTGGACAGTGTCCGAGACCAGGAAAGAGAAAGGGGCATTGTTGGAACACTTGGGGAAATAGGATCAGGGTCTGTGGATAGGATGGTCATATTGTATCAATGGTGCTTTGGTGACTGGAGAGAGGAGCAGTGGGGAGAGAGGGTGGAGCAATGTGACGAAATTCTAAAACTTGGAAAATCTGGGTGGAGGCAATGTAGAAGTTCTCTGTGCTATTCTACCACTTTCCTGTAGCCCTGAAACTATTTCAAAATGTAAATAATTTAAGAGGCAAAATAATTCATTCTGTTCTACTGAAAATCCTTTCGGTTCATCCAGTTCAAATTACTGTCTCCTTGAGTTTATAGCTCAGTTGCAAACATGTTCTTAGGCTAAAATTCCATCTAAGACCTCAGTTTGAGAGGCTGTTTACTTCCTGTCAAATTATTTTGAGATACTAGTACCAATGTAAATCAAATAAAACTACACCACAGGTAACTATAAGTTCCTGTGTCAAGATGCCCCATTTTTACAGAATGCACTGGTAACAATTAGGAGATGCTGTACTTAAAGAAAACTGCCAAGAGCAACAAGCAGACTGAAAGAGCCAGCTTGGCTAGAGGATGACACTGGCTGGGTCAAAGTGATTCTGATTTAAGTTATGCACAAAGACCGTACTCCCAGGGCCTGCCAATCATCTTGTGAATGAAGGCTATTCAATCCCATCTTGGTCTGGCAAGGGCAAGGGCATGCAGACAGCTGGCTGCAAGCCCACCACTGCATTCAAAGAACAGCTCCAAAGCAAGAGATTCACATAAGCAGATGAGTGAAGGCCTCATTACACGTGTGAGTAACAGGGTCATTTGCTTTCTGTGTTACAGGTCAAAATTAGACAATGTATAGAGATGGCACATCAGGGGAAAGAACTTGATGGTTTTTAGAAGTGACATAATCCTCACGAGCCAATGTGATTAAAAAAATTATAAATGTGTTCAATTTTCAGTTTTACTATAGAAAAGGCTATCACTTACTTAAATAGTTTCTAACAGACTAGGCAACCAAATTAGTTAAGAAACATTTGTGCAAAACTAAGAAAAAATACAGAGTTGACTTTTTAAATTCCATAGGCAACATGAAATGCTGCTTGAAAAAAACTGAATCTTATTAGGCAAAGGTGGCTAGAGAAACAAACAAATATCAACTGCCACGGGAAAGAGAAGACCTGCCCAGATTCTGAAGCAAATATACGGTGAGATATCACGTGGTATCAGGGACACATTTTGAGAAACGAATCACTAGGCAATTTTGTCCTTATGCGACCATCACAATGTGGACTTTCACAAAGCTAGACGATGCAGCCTACTGCACACCTAGGCTATCTGGAGCAGCCCACTGCTCTAGGCTACAAACCTGGACAGCATGTTACTGTACTGAATACTGCAGGCAACTGTACCACAATGCTAAGTATGTATGTGTCTAAACATAGAAAAAGTACAGTAAAATACAGTATTATAATCTTACAGGACCACCCTCTTATTTGCAGTCCATCATTGACCAAAACATCTTTATGAGATACAAAACTGTAGCAGCAAATCATGTGTCCATTTAATTCGCTCATGGACACTAGGACGTCAACAGAGCCAGGCCCAAGGACATGAGAGTGACAGTTGGGCAGTGAAGCACAACAGGAAATGTCAGAATGAAATGCAAATAGCCAGTTTCTTCCCAACAACTTTGACAAGTTTGGATGTGTTTGGATCAAGATTTAGATTTAAACACAAACAGCACTTATTAAACATCTACACTGCCCAGCAGTCTTCCAGGTGCTTTGAAACTCTTACAGAAGCCTTACGATAATCTTTCATATTAACATAGAACATTGTAGATATAGATGCTTCTTAGGGAGAAAACCTTACAGAAAAGTAAGCACACACAATTCCTCTCTACGCCCCTCGCTTTCACCTCCGGGAACGTAACTATTATCACAAAGGCAGGATGGTCTCAAAGGCCAGATAAACAAGGCATGGGCAAGGGTGGTACTCGTCAACCCATCTAAAGTTGCGTCATCAAGCAGCTACCACGTGGTCTGGCACAGAGGCGGCAGAGGGTGGTGACTGAGAACATGGAGCCTGCCTGCCTGGGCTCATACCCTGTTCCACCAGCTGCTGACCTGGCACAGTCATTTATCTCCGTGACTCATTTTCTTCATTTGTAACAGCAGAGACAGATACCGTATGTGAGCATTAAGTCAGTCGTTACATAAAGTCCTTACAATACAGTCTGGCATAGAAGGTGGCAGAAAATAAAACAGGGATTCATTAAGTAAATAATGTAATATACCCTAAAGTAATAAAGAAAATCCTACACTTAGAGTTCTTAAAATAGACAGATGTGTACCTTGCAATCCAGACCATCTTCTCTAAAAGGTTTTATTCGGGAAGATTAAACTGAGTTTGACTAGACGGAAGAGCACACAAAATACACATTTCTTAAACACATGTAGAAAAAAAGAATAGGCTTTTCTTCACTGTAGCAGATGAGCATATAAGTGCGTTGTTGGAAAGGCTACTGCCTGCACACCATTCTGGTCCCCTAGCGCCCCACCCCACCCCACACACACAGGGGTTCAAATGCTAAACAATTAAACTGCAGTCTAACTCAAAATCTGTAAGCTTTTTCTGGGCTACCCAAAACTTTTTTTTTTCTAGCTTCTGGTGTACTATGATGCAAAAATGATGTTGCCTTGCAATGTAAGTAAAATTGACCACTTACCTCAGAGTAAGCAAGAGTGATATGTTCATATATTCCCTGGTGGTGATGAATGGCATCTTCTAGGTCCTGCAGCTCTGAGGGAAGGTCTACCTCACCGCAAGCTTTACACCATGAATCCACGTTGCTCATATACTTGGAAGGTTAAAAAGAAGATTATTTCTATCAATGACAATTTATATTGAAAAGTGGACATTTTTTAACATGGTTTTGAAAACTAGGGGAGTTGACGGAGATCCTAAGAATGTAACATGGTTGACTTTCCATCTCAAATGGCATCCTCAACTCACATGAGACTGCTGGACTCCATTCCCAGAGTGGGTTTCAGCAGGACTGGGGCGAGTCCCAGGAATCTGCATTTCAGATGAATGCCTCAACTGACTGCTGCCCAGGTCTGGGTGTGCCCCTGGAACAATGCAGCCCTGTTTTGGGCTTTCTGCTAAATTTTCCCAATCCACCTTTGAATCCATGTTTCTAACTGCCCTGTACTCCTAGCAAGGGAGGACAGAAAGATGACTCTCCCACGTACCCCTTAACTAGGGTTCAACAGCAGGATGCTCCTTCTCCTTGCAGCTACTTGTCAGTCTTACTCTGTTCCTTTTACACTGAGATGTAATGAAAAAGTTCCAGATATCTAAAAATAATTTATCTGAAATAAGGAAAAGCAGCCAGTCCATTCTGCTACTGTTTCAAAAGGAAATTGACACCAGAATTAAAAGGAGACCAAGAAAAAAGGGCCTGAACTTCTCTGTGAATCTTAGGAAAGGCCTAAGGAGGCAGAGGCATCATTCCCATCCTTCCCAATTTGCACGGAAATGAGAAAAGCCTGAGCCATGCGAACAGCGCTGCGGCTGCCATCCCGATCCTGGCTCAATCTCCTCCACTGCCACCCTCCACCTCCAGGATCATCAACAGTCCTGCGGCTGCCATCCCGATCCTGGCTCAATCTCCTCCACTGCCACCCTCCACCTCCAGGATCATCAACAGCGCTGCGGCTGCCATCCCGATCCTGGCTCAATCTCCTCCACTGCCACCCTCCATCTCCAGGATCATCAACAGTCCTGCGGCTGACATCCCAATCCTGGCTCAATCTCCTCCACTGCCACCCATCTTCGGGATGCATCAATGGCTGAGAAATCACTGCCAAATTTCCTAGGGAGATCCTATCAAAATCCATCACAGTTAAGAGTGAAAGGCAAGTGCAGAAGGCCCAGTTAAAAAAGCTAATTCAATTAAGCCAAACAGCCATCAACACATTTCCCTTGGTTTTAACGTCTTTACTCCTGTTCCTCACACATCTATTTACTTAGCAGGCAATGCAGAGCATGACTATTTGAAATGCAATACTCGACTGGCCAGAAAAGAAATGTGCTATAATTCCCTTAAAATATAGTAAGAACAAACTCTCAGTTCATTTTTAGGATATTAAAATAGACAAGTCAACCAAATAATAACTGTTGATGAAAATCCTTTTATTATTGAGTGCAGAAAAATATCTATGCAGACCTTAGGGCTTGAGGTCAATTCATATGGCATTAGTGTCAACTGAGTATTTCTTGGGTGGCATGTTCCATAAACGTCAATTTGGTCAGGTCAGATGACTGTCACTATTTCTGAGCTCTATTTCTCTCTATCATCTTCCCTTATTGCATTTAATACCAATTATTAAATTATTGTGTTTTTCAAACACAAACTGATTGAGGTTAACCATCGTCATTAATAAATCATCAGGTCTAAGTCAGCAATTAAGTGCTCCAGGACAATGGCCACTGTAGAACATCCAAAACCAAGAGGAGGTGCAACATGTTCGTAAGATCAAAACACTCATGACAGAACACGGTGGAAACACATTTCAGTTATACAATACTTCACAATTTAATGAACAGAAGCATCAGACTAACATATCACTGTATCAAAATCACTACAGTATATTCAACTCTAATTTTTGAAGCAACAACCAATAAAGAAAAAAACATTCAAGAAGTTTTACATATTCCTGTAATTAGAACTAACTTATAATTTCTTTCTTTCTTTTTTTTTTTTTTTTTGAGACGGAGTCTCGCTGTGTCTCCCAGGCTGGAGTGCAGTGGCGTGATCTCGGCTCACTGCAAGCTCCGCCTCCCGGGTTTACGCCATTCTCCCGCCTCAGCCTCCCAAGTAGCTGGAACTACAGGCGCCCGCCACCACGCCCGGCTAGTTTTTTGTATTTTTTTTTAGTAGAGACGGGGTTTCACCATATTAGCCAGGATAGTCTCGATCTCCTGACCTCGTGATCCACCCGCCTTGGCCTCCCAAAGTGCTGGGATTACAGGCTTGAGCCACCGAGGGCACTGATTATACTTCTCTGAAAAAATACATCCAGGGAAGGATGGTGTGTTACACGAAAACCTTGTGGACAAAGGATTCTGCCCTTTTTCTGGGTTAGTAACAGCCCAGTGATAGAAATAATACTAGCAAGGCCAGGCGTGGTGGCACACGCCTGTAATCCCAGCACTTCAGGAGGCCGAGGCAGGCAGATCACGAGGTCAGGAGATTGAGACCATCCTGGCTAACACAATGAAACCATGTCTCTACTAAAAATACAAAAAATTAGCCTGGCGAGGTGGTGGGTTCCTGTAGTCCCAGCTACTCGGGAGGCTGAGGCAGGAGAATGGCGTGAACCCAGGAGGCGGAGCTTACAGTGAGCAGAGACTGCGCTACTGCACTCCAGTCTGGGCGACAGAGCGAGACTGTGTCTCAAAAAAAGAGAAGAGAAGAAAAGAAAAGAAATAATCCTAGTCCTAGTTTTACAGAGGGTTTTGCACAGCATCATTTCTCTGTTCTTTATTTCTAAGACACAACCCTAAACTCCACAGAGCAAGCTCTAGGCCTGATTGTTTTCTGAAAGGCTGAATGCCCAGAGGGTCTGAAACCAACAGCACCAGCACAACAATCCCCATTCAGAGATTCATGGAACAGGGAACAGGGTGTCAACAGGCATTCCACGAAGAAGAAGAAGCATCCTGAGATCAAGTTTGGTGTCAAAATTCAACAGGTACCTTCATAACAGAACCTCATAGAAAAGCTTCTAATATGGTAATGATATCATACGAGGGGGCACCTGGCACTTCCCTCCCTCTGATACACACATAAACACATACCTGCTACCATCCTGGGAAACCCAGGTTGGGACTGCAACGCTGGGGGAACATGTCTAGCACAGAGCCTGACACTTAGGAGGTGAGAAGGACAGAAGGTATCTACTGCAGTCTAATGAGATCAGAGCAGCTGGCTTAGTATCTGATACTTCAAGTGCTCCGTAAATCAAAATATGTGAATAAAAAGCATCTGGTGGACTGGGGGTGAAGGCCGGAGAGTGTGAGAGAATGAAATGTTGCTCTGTCAATTCAGATCAGGAGCCTACTTCAGATCTGGGGATCCTGAAGCTGAGCAGAATGGTGGTATTAAGAAAGTGTTGCTGAATAAACGATGAAGGAAGCCTGGATCACCCAGTTTGCAAAACAGAGGCAAGCAGAGGAGGGAACAGTGATTCATATACACAGCTTTAAGGGGAGAACTTGGATAAATCATTAACAGATTGCTTTTCCTAAGCATTTACTCTACTACTCTCCGTCTGCTCAGAGGGGGCCTGCGATCTGGGAGCCGCTCATTTCTTCTGCCTGTTCTGGGTCCCACCAACCACAGCTGGGATCCTCGAAGCTAGTGAACTGCACTCCCATCCACCTCTCATCCCCGCCACCTCTTGATGGAGCCTCAGCTGAGCACAGGCACTAAGCCGGACTTAGGAGTCAAAGGGACGGAAATTTCTTAGATTTAGAACTTGCATCTATGTCATGTTTATAATAAATGTTAATTCTAAAAATATTTATGGGAAGTGAACTTTTATAAGAATATTAATGCAAGTGTGAAATTGTTTGTTATTATGTCAGGAACTGAAAGACCCAGCCATAGACCTCAGCAAAAGTTCTAGCTTTGGAAACACGGCCAAATCACTCCCCATTCGGATTATCAGGACAGTAATATTACAGTCCCATCTACTCCACTGGGCTGACTGAAGGATGAAATGAGATTTCATGTTAAAGAGCTCTCTAAAAATTAAAGAACTATACAAACACTGTTACTTTATTTTCAGTTATTATCCAAGCACAGAAGGCCTAAAGTCATAGATGAATTAAGGTGTTCAGCAGACGTGCGGTTCACTCCACAGGTAAGCCTCTACAAGCACTACCCGAGCGGACACAAATGTGTACCTGTGCTGCCAAGTACAGTAGCCACTGGCCACGTGTTGCTCCCAATATGGTGAATAAGCAACTATTATTTTAATTCTATTTTTAAAATGATTTTATCCTCTTATTATTTAACTCCATCACAATGGACAGTGCAGCCTGAGGTCACCGTAAAAGGAGATTTTAAGCTATAGCAAAATCAAGTCATTTTGTTTTATAAAAATGTAATTCTAATGGTATTTGCTGTGAAAGCTTCTTAATATAAAGGGTCTGTGCTGTGGATATAGCACATGACCAAGACAAGCGAAGGCTGAAGCACCTACGCAACATCTACCAGTAACAACATTAACACTGTGGTTGTGTGTCCACATGTTTGTGAACGGATACCGTGATCCCACACCTTCACTGGAGATGAGGACACAAGACACACTGGCTGACACATCTATGGAAGTTATACCATCTATGAATCACTCTCATCTAGCTTTAACTTCAGAGTTATGTTTATAAAGCCACAGCAAACGCTAGCACCCATGGAGAGAGAGGGCAGGGCTGGACGGTGCAGCTAAGAGATGTAATCCTTACAGAGAAGGCGGCTGCCATTAGTAAGCTCATTAACCATGGGGTCACATATTTGAGCCTTATGTCCCCCTAATCAGATTTAAATTCCACATGAACACTCTGGATGTGATTCAAAGAGGTGACTATGATGGACACCTACTTAGGACGTCCAAGTTTCTGGTCCTTTCCAGACTGAGTTTATGGAAACAGCTTGAGCATAACTAGAAGGCAAACCATTTAAAATGAGGGAACAACGTTGACCTATACTCGGGATTGCTCTGTTGGGAAAAGAAAACCACTTTAGTGATGAGCATCAGAATTTCAAGGATCTTACTTTTCTTTAGTGGGGGGGGGATGAGATACAATTCATTTTTACTTGCAAGTAAGGACCGTCTTTCTGAAGACGTCCTAATCTCCCATCTGTGCATTTCAGCTGTCTACGTGCAGGCCTTGTTGCTTCGTTAAGGTCTGGAATGCACGCTGGGCCCCTTCTTCATTAGATTACTGTCCCTTTGCTCGAATTTAGCTTCTTCTCTGGCCACCTTATATGCACTGAGACTTCAGGCTTCCTTCCGGTTTATGCAGCGTCCTATGAAATTCTGTTCAATAATGTGTTCGCCTAGTTTCATTTCCTTCAAATCCATAAATTATAGTCTTTCATTTTATCCAGATGAGAATACCCCAGGATTTCAATTTTGCTGTATGTTTAAAATTTTTTATAATAAAACACTGGAAGGAAAATGCCCCATGGAACCCATGTTTCCAGATTATTTTCAGGCAGGTCACAGCAGCAATTAATCTCCGGGTTTATTTATATTTCTGAATCCCGTCATGTTTATGAAAGATGTTCTCTGTGTGTTACGCTTCAGCCTATCTAACATTCACCCACGCAGCTTGTCCTGCTTCAAATTCATTCATATCATCTTACTGCCAAATGATCAAGTGTGTTGCTACTTTGTACTACGATAAGGATCGGAGAGGGCTACAGGGTCATGACGATGGTTCTATTTATGCTGAAGGAGTTCCTGTTACTTTAAAAAGTTGTTTTTGTGTGGGCTTTTGTCTATCTTTTATCACAAAATTAGTCAAATGCATAAAGTTAGAAAATAGAAAAATCCTACCATTGAAACTCTCAGCTTTTACATGATGCTACGAAGGTTTGCTTCTCTTTATATATCACTCAGCTTCCTCTCTTGCTTTATACTTTAAAGGTTTCTAGAGTTGAGATCACTGCTAATTAGTGTCTTGTGCAACATTCTGACCGCCCCGCCAAAAGCCTAGGCAAGCTGGGGCCTCTATCTTCCTTTATTGACTTCTTCACTCTTCAACAGAGACTGCTTCTAGATTAAAGAGATACTATTTCCTTTTTAAGAAGCATCCATGCAAATCCCTGAATGCAGTCTTTCCCCCAAAAATTAACCCTGAGGAAGATACACTGATATTCTTCCTTTTTAAATTAAGCAACCGTTTTCCTCTTCCCCATCTTGAAAAGGTATTCACTGTGCTGCCCACCTTCCAATAATAAAGTCTGAGTCATGAGCAAATCCCTTCCATTTTGCTACTTTCAGAGAGTTTTTATTTAAGCAAGTTTGCTTAAGTGGAGGTGTGGGGAGTGTTGGGGGCGTATATTACCCATTACTTCTTAAACTAGAAATTTTGACACAGCACGTCTGTCAGCAAATGAAACCAAAGTCAGATGCCATGTAGCTAAGTTTGTAATTATGAAAGACACTGTCGATTGTGTACCCAAAAAAGCCATTTTCCTCCCTCACCCTTGCTGGCAGCACCTCCCTACGGAGGCTAAACACCAGATCCACCCTTTCCCCCACCCCTTGCAGCAAGGCATGGATGTGTACCCAAAGACTAGCCAATGGGAACTGAGGGGAAGTGTGCAGGGGGCGGGGCCTCTGGAAATGCTTCCCTTATAAACTGGCAGGCAAAAACAGCTACAGCCATCCCTGCGGAGGGTGGGCGCTGTGGCTGAGGAGGAGCTGGTCCATGGAGCTGAGGTGTGCTGCCCCGACTGTGACGGGAGGCCCAGCAAGCCTGAGGGCGGCAGACACCACCCCTCTGTAGCCGTGCAGCTGGAGGTGCCTATGCCTTAGAACTTCGCAGTTTATGAGAAAAGTAAACCCTTGACGTCTGTACCACTGATGGGCGTTCTGTTCCTTGCTGCCAAAACATCCCAACTGGAGTAATAAAGCACTATCAACAAGGAATAAGAGGAAAGAAGGAGCCAGGCGAGGAGGGGAAGAGAAGAGCAGCTGCCACGTCTTAGTGCTTATCGTGCTGGGCACTGCGTGGGGCACCTAGCATCACATTTACATCAACAGTTCACTCAAGCAGGTACTTTTATTTCTACTTCACAAATGAGAAAACAAACCAGAGAGGCTAAGTCACTTACCTAAGGTTGCGCAGCAAGGACTAAGAGAGCTGGAATTCAAACTCAGGGCCGAGTGACTTCAGAGCTCACATGCGGAGCTCACAGTATGTGCTACACAGGAGTGTTTGCACACACACCAATATTCATGGAGGACGAACTATTCTGGTTACCACCTCGTGGGCTGGGGGTTCGAGGCACTGACCTTTTCGGCCTTCTGGTGGAAAATGGAGGACATGTCCAGCAAGGTGCTCCGCTCGTCCAGGGCTGCCGCAAATGCCTTCCACTCCTGCTCCAGCTGACTCGCGATCTGCCTGATCTGCTGCGAGGCATAGTGGCCAGACTCCACCAGGCGATTGGCCACCGACATGATGCGGTTTATATTTACATACACGTTCTGCAAAGTGGGCAGGAAAAGAGGGCTCCTCAGGGGAGAGCAAATAAGAGTCTCCCTTCTAAGAAGCCCAGATACCACCTGCTGAAACACAGGCTTCTACCAGTGATCACACCTTTCCCAGGAGCATCACCTGATTTTATAATATTATACATATTTGCTCTCTAGATTTCCATAAACTTGAAGTATTGGTTTCCATTTCTATTTTTAAAACTGTAAAATTACAAATCAACTAGCTGAAAGGCATAATTGTCCAGCACAAAGCAATCAAATACACAAGTGGGTGCACACAAATATACTATTACTCACTTCTTGGCTTCAAGTACTGAACAGGGTCCAGATGGCAAGCCTGCTGCCAGGCAGTCACGGAGAACTGAGGGACCCAGCGCTCTGGGTTTTAACTAGAACCCAGAAACCCAAAAACGCATACCTAGCAACCAAAGGCTATTTGTGTGAAAGCAAGCTCTCCTTTCTACATACGCCCAAGTCATTTTTTGGTGCCAACAGAAAATATTCTGTAAATAGATCCACCTTCTCTCAGGAATATGAACTGCAGTAAAAACACAACAATGCTATGCTCAAATTTTAAATAAAGCTTTTCTACTCTGTCAAAATTCCTCTCTTCGAGTCTATCAGTTTATTTCAAAAACAGGGATTTTTTAAAACCCACCCTTTTTGCAGAACAAGCTCTCACTATGGAGTTTCCCTTTCCACCTCCAGGGTTCTTTAAGGCTCAGTATCACATCGTGTGGTGTGGTGGATGGTGGGGATTCAGACCTTCAGCAAATCTGCTGAAGTTGCTGTTGTTCATGTATTTATTATTTCTGTGCACTGTTACCACCTCACCCCTCCCCGTGGGTCCCCCAAAATCGTAGCTACATCTTTGGCTCTTCTCAGTGTTGCCCCAGTCTGATTTCCTGATCTATCCAAACTCCTCTACGTTTTCCCCCCTTCTCTCGCTTCTCACACAACCCCTCTGAGCCAATCTCCCATTGCCTCGAACAGGGACCCCACAACAGCCTCCTTTCTGTCCCTTGCTGCCTGCAGTCCCCCCAAGTCAACGGCTGAAAGAACTCACTTGCTCATTCTTTCTTTGTATCTTCTTGAAATTCATCCTTTCCCTCTATTTCTGACCCAAACCAGAACTTGGTGGAGTTGCCTCTGTCTGGAATTAGAGCCACAGGACTCCAGCCTCAGGGTTACATCTCCGGGCTGCATGTGAAGGCTAGAATCAGCTAACAGACATCGCATGTCTGGAGTCGCAGAAAGAGGCTGCAACAGTCAAGCCATGCTCAGTGAGGTGACCTCTCTGGCTCGTGTGGCATTAATGCTCTAACTGGTATCCGGTAAATTAAAAGCAAGGCCTCCCATTCCCAAGTGCATTCTTTCTCTCTTTTCCTCCCTCCTAGTAAAGTGACAAGAAACTAGATTTGCTAATTTTGCTTTCTCTATATCCTTAAAAGAGAAAAAGCCAGTCCAACAGGTCTGTTAGGGAAAGGACAAGATGCGCTCTGTTAGGATCTGGAGAAGAGAAGTCCCTTTGGATGGCTCTGTTGTGACAACCACTGACCCTACTCACCCATCCCTAGGTTGTTACAGCTTTCTGTATTACTTTTATAGAAAAACAGGTTTTACTAGTCTATGTATGATGCTTTTTCCATCTCTCCATCACTTCTAGCACACATAAATCTACAGCCTGGACATAAATATGGCAATGTGCAATTCCCTAAATTAAAAGTACCTACACCTACATTCTTATCATCATAGTTTTTACAAATATCTGTTATAGTAGAACGTGCATAATTGTTGGTATCCCTTAATATGCTTTCTTTAAAAGCTGTTAACTTGGCATAATGGTATTTAGTATCCTTATTTTGTCAGAAATTATTCAAAACACTACAGCGAGGAGAAGGGACTGAAGGTTAAATACCCTTGCCCTGCATTACTAAATGTCACAGATACTAGGGATTCGTGGAGGTATTCAACACAAGGAGTAGGCCTGGTCCAGAAAGCTCCTCAGCAGGTGTCACCATTACAGCACCGAGCTATCCACATGCATTGTATTACAAGTTTGACTTAGAAAAGTAACAGAAATATATTGTAGAAAATTAGAAAATATACTCAAACTCCCCCCCCAAAAATAGCTGTAACTCATATTTTTAAGTTTCTTACCTGCTTTAAGTGCATCTTTAATTATATTGATAACATCACTGGTAAGAATTAACATTTATACAGTACTTACTCCGTGTAAAGCAATATGTTTTGTATTTTACCTATACATGTAACACCATGGAAGGCAGGTATTACCCCCAGTTTACAGACTAGGAAACTAAGGCTCAAAGAGGTTAAACAGCCTTCCCAAGGTCACATGGCAAATAAGAAACTCAGAATTAAAAGCCTCTACGTCCGCAACCCATTTTCCTGTCTTCTACACTATGGTTCCTACTCCCTTGAGTCCTAAATCTGCCACTAATAAAGGTGAAGAAAGGGGGAAGAGAGAATATATTTTTCTGTTCATTTCTAGCACATATTTTAGTATTTCTAGTTTTTAAAGTATGTGGCATGACTGAATGGTCTCTTGCCAAAAGTTTCAGAAAATTCTAAAAAAACTGACAGCAATTTTTTACAAAGAAATTTTTATCTATGCCCAGGTTTGATGATTCAAACCAGAAATTCTCTTACTTTAAATTCTAGAACAGATGTAAAAGTTTCTGACGGCATTTATTGCTAAAAATTATATTGTAAAATCTTATCTTTGAAACTACCTAAACTGTAGCACCTAGTTGACTATATTTTAATTAAATGGCATCTTACTGAATTAACTTAAACAAAAACCCTGTCTTCATATTACCTGATTTGTACTTTTGTTTTTGAGACAAGGTCTTGCTCTGTCACCCAAGCTGGAATGCAGTGGCGTGATCATAACTCACTGTTGCCTGCAACTCCTGGGCTCAAGTGATCCTCCAGCCTCAGCCTCCTAAATAGCTGGGACTACAGGCGTGCACCACCACACCTGGCTAATTTTTTATTTTTATTTTATTTTATTTTTAGAGATGGGGTCTTGCTGTGTTGCCCAGGCTGGTTCATATTGCTTTAATGCTCTACAACAAACGTTACAAGGTTTAAGAGTGGATAATCCTCACAAGGCTGGCTTAAAGTCCAAACCAAAACTCTTTATCCCTGAAGAGGAAATTTCTAGAAGCTTCACAGACTACAGAATCAAGCAAATGTCCTATAGAACATACAGTTTTAGTAATATTAACTATAAAACTGTAACAGAAGTGCTACTCAAAATTCAGTGTTTTAGTATGGTTTTGGTTTCTGTGATGTAGTCCTACAGTCAGCCTCTAAGATCCTGATGGAGTCACGACAGCCAAGAGTAGCAGACGCAACAACCTTAAAGAGGGCCAGGGGATCCCAGGGAAGGCTAAGGGCCAGACCCCAGTACTCCAGCTCAGCTCGGAAGGAAATCTCATGCCTCAGGAGAACTAGCGAGTGCCCTGAGGTCAGCAGCAGGCTGGCTCCTTTCGCTGTCATGAACAGCAGCCAGGAAACTGACAGCGCTCCGTCTGCGGGACCCATTGTGCCTCCCAGCAGCTTTGCTGGGGCCCCCATGGGCTCCTATGAGGCGGAGCACAGGAGCCGGCATCCGAAGTGTCTGTGGTGAACTAGCCAGGTCATTGGTTCAAGTTTCACTGGTTCATCTGTTTGCTTGTTTTCATTTTTGTTTAAAACTTAAAATGTGGGATACTGAGACAATGGAACCCTAGGGAACACCCTGCATGTGAAGCTCAGCTGCTACAATCAACAGCCACTCTGGGGGCCCCTTGAGAGCCCAGCCCAGCATCTGCCAAATGCCTCCCATTTGCTAAAACACTGTCACGTGGCAGGGTCCAGCTGTTCCGAGTGTCTTACCATACAGTTCATGGCGAAGTGATTGTGCTGCGTCTGGAGCTCCATGGCATGAGGGTGGCTGGTCCCAATCTCCGTGTAGCTGTTTAGAAACAGGCCTTTGTTGTGTGTGATCCAGTCAAACATCTACCGGAAGGAAAAAGATAACCTGGAATCACTCCAGAAAGAGAAACTGCTGCACAGGCCCATAGATGGGGCAGTACCAAGAAAGGGCAACTTCCTTCCCTGGACAACTTCAAGTGCTGTCTGACTCTCTCAGAACAGTCTTTACTTCGGAGAACAAGTCAGCAGTTCTGAACTTGCAGGACCTACCAGAAAATCTTATCTGATGTGTTCCTCTTACAGAGAAGGAATTAAGAAGCAGATAAGTAAAGAGAGTTACTCTAATCCCCTGGGCTAATTAAAAACTCTGATCCTCTGACTCCCGGTCCTGTGTCCCTGCCACGCTGAACTACTTAATTTGCCACCATGAGCTTCAATTAAAGACCTGTTAGGGTGAAATTAGGAACTTATGGGTCTTTGGATGGGTTCTGCTGTGCCCACAGGTTACTGACAGAAATATCAATGACTAAAAGATGACACTGTTTAATCAAGAAGTACATAGACACCTGTGCAGATTGCAAACCCATAAAATTTACTGTAAAAATAAAACAGGCAGGAAAAACTAACAATAGCATCTCCCTTAAGGTACAATACAGATGTTACCTGGATAAGGATGTCAATTAAGACATTTGCAAATGAAAACATTTAAGAAAATATAGATGACTGTCATCAATTAGCATTGCTACCATGACTTGAACCAGAATCCCAGGGACAGTAGCCTGTTTTTCTAGTAATTGAAAGGAAGGTATTCCAGTGTCTTAGACAAGATGCTACTTAAAACAAAAGAACACTGGCAGATATGTTAAAAGCTTTGGTAACAAAAACACTGGATTGTCACCTTTCGAAAAGTCCTTTCACATCCAAGAATTCTAACGTGGATTTTTACTTTACAAAATATTCTCCTGTCCATGTAATATAAAATTCAGTGAGCTCAAATAAAACTCAATGATTAATTCACCCACGTTCATGGCTTGCAACACATACCTATGAATAAGTGCCCAGTTTTCACATTGCTAAGATTCAATTAGCCAGTAATTGATAAGGATTCACTTTGACCAGTTGGTCTGCCTGGCGCATAAGAATAAAGCATAAGACTAGAGATCATTACTGACTATATTACCCAGAAATTGTTACTTTTAACACATTACTCGTCTTGATTTTAAAAACATACTCAATAGATTGGAACGGTGTTCTGTCAATAACATAACCCTGTGAAATTTTCACTTTTTTTTCTTTTTTTTTTTTTTAAGACAGAGTCTCACTCTGTCGCCCAGGCTGAAATGCAGTGGCACGATCTTGGCTCACTGCAACCTCTGCCTCATGGGTTCAAGCGATTCTCCTGCCTCAGCCTCCTGAGTAGCTGGGATTACAGAGGCGTGCCACCACACCCAGCTAATTTTTGTGTTTTTAGTAGAGATGGGGTTTCACTATGTTGGCCAGACTGGTCTCAAACTCCTGACCTCAACTAATCAGCCCACCTCAGCCTCCCAAAGGGCTGGGATTACAGGCGTGAGCCACCAAGCATGGCCGAAATGTTCACTTTTTTAAGTGAAAATACCATTCCTATCTTACAGGCATCCTAGACCAAAGCATAAGTAATTTGAACTCAAATTTTCTAAAACAGCACTGTATTGCACAATAAGTAAAACTGGAAAACAGATTTCAGTGCCGTTTCTGAAATGACCCTCACTGGTTTAGAGCACACACGGTAAGCGTAGCCTTACCATTCTCCACCTTTTCTCTTTCCTTCCACCCGAACCCACCAGCACTGGCTTCCCCCATGTCCATTGAGGCATTAGCCTCCCCGTCTTTACCTTCTCAGCATCCTGTTCAAACAGCCTCAGCTGGAAGCACTGGTCCAGCTTCAGCTTCCTCACATGCCACATCTGGTGCAGATGCTGCCGTGTCGAGTGCAGCCGGTCCAGCATGGTGGACACCTTGGGCAAGAGGTTCTGCAGGTCCGCATTGCCTGAGCCTGAGTTCTTTTTGGGAAAGCTTTCACTGCTCTGTATCCTCTGAAGCAGCTTCTGTCCCTCCAAATCCAGGTCCTCGATGGGGGCCTTAATCACCTTCTTCTTCAGCTGAGAATGTTCCTCGATCATATTCCGAGCCCCCTCTAAATCCTGAGGCAGCTCCTTCTTAGCTAGGATGTCCTGAAGTTCCTCCAGCCGAGACAGCATGTGGGTTGCATTGCTAATGTAGTCTTCAAAAGCAACTCTGATTTCAATCCATTCTTCATGGTTGTATTCCAGGCAGCCATCAAACTCAGGAGTTAGCTGAGAAGGATCAACTACTTTGGTAAGGCCTTCTAAAGAGACCATATTTGTCTTAAGGGAAAAAAAATCACGTATGAGAAGATGAACCAATTTTATATAGTTTTAACATAATGCAATTTGCAATGCTCAGTCACAGGTTTTCAAAGTCAATCTATTTATAGAAAACAACATACCTGGTTCTGGCCCCATAAAAATAAATGTAGATGAAAGAAGCATTATCAGTGCAATGAAAGACAAATCCATTATAGCAACACACGTATGTCAGTTGGAATACCTAAAACTGTAGAATCGTGTATTTCATGAGAGCTAAAGAAATGAGATTTCTTTCCAAGAAGGTGGAGATTAACCCACTATAACAGACACATTAAACCAGGAAACAGGTTAAATTGCAAGTTCAGAGCAAACAATGCGGAAATTTCACTTACATCAATGCATTCTACCCATTCTTTTTCATCCAAGCCAGAAACTCTGTGGAGGTTTTCTACTACTTGCTATTACACAAACGTCTTGCACATGGGCATCAAAACCCTTTTAAGCACAACGTCACTCTAAATTCAATTACGTGTGGGCTGCCTATTAAATGACGAATGCTGCTCCAACCACACCACCCTGTCATTCATCTTGCCTAAGCCTAACCCCACTGCCCATCAAATAACAGATGATGGGATATGAATGAGTTTATAAAAACTTAGAAAATATTCAGGAGGTGGCAAGAAAGCTGGCAGAGGCTCATTTGACAGAGCTAAGGACAGAGGCAATGCTTTATTCATTGCAATAATCTGCTGTGATTCTGAACAGTCCTAGAGTTGTATATAATCTGTACTACACTGCAATTTAACAGTGACAAAATTTTAGTCAATTACAATCTAAGCAAAAATCTT